TTTCCACAGCGGATTTCTCGTCATAACGGATTTTTTTGGTTGGAACCATGAATCCGCTGTGGCGAGGTTTGACTGTACTGGTCACTCAGGTGAATGGGATTTGTCTTGATGGGAGTGTTTATTCATGATGGTCCTAGCTGTCCAATGGAAAGTAATCATGTTATTTAATATGAAAATATATATTATTAAATATATTTTTAATGTTTTTTTTTTGATTTATAGCACTGCAAAACCTTTTCCTCTAGCTGTTTGTGAATTAAAAGGTATTATGGCCATATACCCAAATTATACCTTAATTGGTATCTTAGTCATTAATTCTGAACATGAGATAAGTAATTGAATGAGAGCAGAAGCTGAGTTGGCATTATATAATATCATCATATCAGATGAAAATAGAATATATAATGATCCTAACTTGCTTTCTTACACTATGGTTGCTTGCCAAAACTCCTCTGGAAATCAATCAGCAGAGTTTCGGCAGGTAACACTAATTGTTTGTTAGAGTTTCAGCAGAGTTTCGGCAGGTAACACTAATTGTTTGTTAGAGTTTCAGCAGAGTTTCGCATTTAGGGATTTTGACAATTAGCAGAGTTTCGGCATGTTACACACTAATTGTTTATTAGAATTTTGGCAGAGTTTCAGCAAGCAACCTTACCTTACACATCTACAATATAAAAAAGCTCTCAGACATTTAAGAGAAAAAGAGCTTATGGGAGCGGAAATATAAAAAAAGAAATGAGGATAAAGTTGATGAAGGAGTTGAATGTAAAATTTAAATCAAAACAACATTTAATATTTTTAATATTTTCATTATTATTATTATTATCTTAATTTTTTTTTCCTTATATAAATAAATTTTAAATAAAATTAATTGAACACATTTTATTATTGAATTTTGTTAAAAGACAGATGTTGGGTGATTTGATTTATTATATTTCTAGTGTATGAAAATCTGTAAAACAATTTCTATTATCCTTGAAACATAGTGAACTTTACATAACTACAGTAAACTATAGATTTTTCCTTTTTTTTTTGTCTTTTGTATCTGCACCACATGCAAGCCTTTTCTCTTATCTATTTCAGGGAAGTGCCTGCCAAGCCTTAATCTTTCTGTAGATAAAACAAGGTTACTCATTGTTGTGTAAATTGTTCTATCATTTCTTGAAGTTCTCGAAGTATTTCTTGAATTACTTCTTGAACTCATCCAAACCAGAAACAATTAAATCATAAGCCAAGTTTACTCTAAATCTTTGTGTTCCAAATCTCCATTGCAATTTTTATGGATTAAATGACAATTGACACTTACAGTATCTAGTAACAAAAAGAACATTGGTATCCAAGTTCTCCTGGCTGTCAATTGAGTAGCATAATAACCATGTAATTGATCAGCTATGTCTACACCACTCATATAAGCATTGCAATCATCTATTACTTTTGGAATTGGGAAAGATTTACTAACTGCACTCCCAAATACTTGTTTGACTTTTACTGCATTTGTACTTGTAATCCCTGGACAATGATGCATTTTTTCTACTAGATTTTCTGTGCTAATAATTTCATGAATTGTATTCAACATTGTTACTGGCCATTGTCCATCCACAAAATTGATAATAAATCATCCACAACAACTCCACTAAGCATGTTCCAATCTAATTTTTATCAGTCTTCAGAACATTTGGAAATTTGGATGTATTTTTACATACAGTACCACATGCACCAATTTTTTTTTCATGTAAATAATTAAATAAATTTATGCTACCAAAATAGTTAACCATGTAAATATTAAAAGATTTACCAGTTGGCAATTCTTTTAATAAATGATAAACTTCACATCCTGTTTGATTCACTCCTGGTATATTTTGAATAAATGAATTCTTTTTTATTCTTGATGTGAACATAAAATTATATGTATACCCTGCATCACACAAAGCAAATCCTTTATATCCTTCAGGAGTGGGTTTATTTTTCATTCTAATAGTATGAGGACTTCTACCAGAAAATCTAATAATCATTTCATCAACTGATAAATTTGAGGAAGGAAGGTAATATTTCATGCAACGTGGTTCAATTTTGTGATACCATGGAGTATTTTCTTGAATGATTTCAATTGGATCTGAGACATGAAAATATCTTTTAATTACTTGAATTTGATTAAAGACATGTAATCAGTAACTGTATATTTATTGAAGTTTTCCAATAATCTCTCACTGATGAAAATTCCTGAATATATTACTATTCCCAATCAAATTTTAAAATCACATAATTCAAGAGCATCCCATCATCTTCCAATTCCAGCACCTTTTTCATCAGCATAAATATTTGTATTTATCTAGAATATCAACAGTAAAGAATAAACTAAACAATGAATAAGGCATAATGTCACTTTACAAAGGCGATAATGCTCTAGGTTTATGCAAAGAATTTTTATGTACAAATTTATTAAATGGTGGAGGTGGTGGAAGATTAACTTCCTGTACATTATTATCATTTCCTCCTCTACCTCTACCTCTACCTCTACCACTTCCTCTACCACTTCTTATTCTTCTTCTGCCCCTCATTCTGATTTCATTTCTATCCTGATTATTAACATCATCAATTAACATTTAGCTATCATCTACATCATTTCCATTGTTAATAATATAATCAATTTGCATTTGATCTTGATTATTATTATTGTTATTTTCTCCAACATCATCTTCATTTTATTTCATCTTTATTGAAGCTCTTTCTATAATAATTCTACATAAATATTTATCATTTCATGTTGTTGACTGGTTTCTTCTATACTCATTTTAATATTAAAATTTCTTGGAGTTTTGATGATCTGTAATATGTTGCACAGAGAAAAATCCGTTTCGTTCGGAGCTTTTTTGATCAACGATTGATTATCAGTCAAGATCTAAAAAAATAAAAATAAAGATGCTTATTTTACCTGGAAATCTTGTTCTTTCTTCATTTAAATCTTCACAACTTTTAAAAAACATACAAACCAAGTTTCCCTCAATTGACTCGATAACTGCAATTCATGTACACTTTATCCAACCATCTAATGAAGCTTCTTTCAAAACATTGAGTAATACCGAATCAATTGAACGTAAAATCCTTGATAATTTATTAAATTATGGTATTATTTCAAAACAAGAATTTAGTGATGATGCTGATATAATAAAAAAAAGAGTTGATTATATGAAGTCATGTTTAAGATCGCCTGATAGAGCAGCAAATGATTCTCTTTTTTTCATTGTAATTCCTAGGCCTGGCACCATTTCACCTTGGTCCTCGAAAGCTACTGATATTGCTTATATGTGTAATTTAAAAGAACATGTTGTGCGTATTGAACGTGGCGTTGCTTATTGGTTGTCAACTGGAGAAGATATAGACATTCGAAACGTTATATCAGAACAACTTTTTATGATTGATCATTATTTACATGATCGTATGACTCAAACACTTGTAAAACAATTGCCAACATCTAATGTAATATTTAAAAATGGTAAATACATGCCATTGAAAATTTTAAATCTAGTGGATGAAAATAATTTTACAAATGTCAATTATAGTTTGATCAAAGAAAAATTTGTCAAAGGGAATAAGGAAATAGGTCTTGCATTGTCAGATGATGAGATGGATTATCTTATTGATGCTTTTATTGGCACTGGCAAAAAGAATAATGATAACATAACATCAACATCATGTTTATTTAGGAATCCTACAGAAGCGGAACTTTTTATGTTTGCACAGGTCAACAGTGAACATTGCCGTCATAAAATATTCAATGCTGAATGGAAAATTGATGGAGAAAAAAAATCACTCTCATTATTTGACATGATTAGAAACACTCATAAATTGAATCCTGATCGAACACTTTCTGCTTATTCAGACAATGCTGCAGTATTAGAAGGATTCAAAGCTACAAGGTTTTCACCGGATCAGAATGAGGAATTTGAATACAGTTTATCTCAAGAAAATGTTCATATTGTTGCAAAAGTTGAAACACACAATCATCCAACTGCAGTCTCACCATTTCCTGGTGCTTCCACAGGATCAGGTGGTGAAATCCGTGATGAAGGTTCTGTAGGTCAAGGTTCAAAGCCTAAGGCAGGATTAACAGGGTACAGTGTATCAAATCTTTTAATACCTGGTTATGTTTTACCTTGGGAAATTGATTTCGGTAAGCCTTCTCATATTGCCTCTGCATTAAATATCATAATTGAAGCCCCACTTGGAGGTGCTGCATTTAACAATGAATTTGGTAGACCAAACATTACAGGATATTTTCGTACTTTTGCTCAAGAAATTCCAAAAGTTAGCAATGATAATGGTGATATTGACATCCTTGTTAATGAGAAAGAAATTCGTGGATATCATAAACCTATAATGATTGCTGGTGGTTTAGGTAACATTAGACCAATGCATATTCATAAGAAAAGAATTGTACCTGGCACACATTTATTTGTCTTGGGTGGTCCATCAATGTTAATTGGTATTGGTGGTGGCACAGCATCATCTTTGATTAGTGGTTCGAGTTCAGCTGAGTTGGATTTTGCCTCTGTGCAGCGTGAAAACCCTGAAATGCAACGTCGATGTCAACAGGTTATTGATTCTTGTGCTTCATTAGGTGAAAAAAGTCCAATTCAATCAATTCATGATGTTGGTGCAGGTGGGTTGTCTAATGCAGTACCAGAAATTGTACATGATAGTGAATTAGGCTGTATCATTAGATTACGAGACATTCCAAATGATGACCCTGGAATGTCTCCAATGGAAATTTGGTGTAATGAAGCTCAGGAACGTTATGTCTTAGCCATATCCCCTGAGAATACAAATTTGTTTGAAAGTATATGTAGAAGAGAAAGGTGTCCCTATGCCAATATTGGGGTTGCAACAAAAGAGCAAAAACTAATAGTTGAAGATTCATTATTTAACAATGAACCAATAAATCTACCAATGTCAATTTTATTTGGTAATTTACCAAAAATTTCATTCAAAACAAGGAAAATAATTACTCAATTTTCTCCATTTGACACTAGTTTAAAAAGTTATATATCAGATACAAGTTTACAAAATGATTTGATTGCTGATGCAATCAATAGAGTTTTAAGACTTCCAACAGTTGCTTCAAAATCATTTTTAATTACAATTGGTGACCGTTCAATAACAGGGTTGGTGGCACGTGAGCAGATGGTAGGTGCTTGGCAAATTCCAGTGGCTGATGTGGCAGTCACTATATCATCATATGACACTGAAGTTATAACTGGTGAAGCAATGGCAATGGGAGAACGGCCACCTGTTGCTTTGATTTCAGCAGCAGCATCTGCTAAAATGGCTGTTGCTGAGGCAATCACTAATTTAGCTGCAGCCAATATTACATCAATATCCCATATCAGATTGAGTGCAAATTGGATGTGTGCTGCAAATCATGAAGGTGAAGGAGCTAGATTATATGAAGCTGTCAATGCAATTGGCATGGATTTGTGCCCTGCTTTAGGAATCAGCATTCCAGTTGGTAAAGACTCAATGTCAATGAAAATGAAATGGAGTGATCATATTGATAATGGTATTTGTAAAGAAGTCACATCACCATTAAGCTTAAATATTACAGGATTTGCTCCTGTTATAAATGTTCATAAGACATTAACACCACAATTACATTATGATGCACAAGAAAATACCATTTTGGTTTATTTTGATCTAGCTATGGGAAAGCAAAGAATGGGTGGATCTGCTATTGCACAAGTGTATCAACAAATTGGAGCTGAAGCTCCGGATGTTGAAAGTACACAAATCATAAAATCATTTTTTGAAGGTATACAAAAAGTGCGTCAGAATGATCAAGAATTAGTATTAGCTTATCATGACAGATCTGATGGTGGGTTATTTGTCACAGTGGTTGAGATGGCATTTGCTGGTCATTTGGGAGTTAAATTAGATATTTCAGATATTGTAAAAAATGGTGATGTTATCAGGTCACTTTTTAATGAAGAACTTGGTGCTGTTATACAAATTAGAAAACAAGATTTAGAAAAAATTATTGAAATATTTACAAAATCAAACTTTCCTAAAAATCATATATATTGTGTTGGTTCAGTATCAAATGATCAAGATGTTATAATAAAATTTCAAAGTTCTATAATATATAAATCAACACGCATGGAATTACAACGAATTTGGTCAGAAACTTCTTTCCAAATTCAATCATTACGTGATAATAGTATTTGTGCTAAAGAAGAGTTTGATAATATTTTAGATGTAAATAATCCAGGCTTACATTTTCATTTGACATTTGATCCAGCAGAAGATGTGACCCTGCCATTTGTGAAATCACCAACTACATTAAAACCAAAAATAGCAATATTACGAGAACAAGGTGTAAATGGTCATATGGAGATGGCATTTGCATTTTATTTGGCAGGATTCAAACCAATTGATGTACATATGTCTGATATGCTATCAGGAAAAGTTGCATTAAAAGATTTCAAGGGGATTGTAGCATGTGGTGGGTTTTCTTATGGAGATGTACTTGGAGCTGGATCAGGATGGGCAAAATCTATTTTATTACACCCCAATGTGAAAAAAGAATTTGAAAATTTTTTCAAAGAAAGAAATGACACTTTTACCCTTGGTATTTGTAATGGTTGTCAATTTTTAAGTCAATTAAAAGAAATAATACCTGGTACAGAAGATTGGCCAATATTTAAAAGAAATAGAAGTGAACAATTTGAAGCAAGATTCAGTTTAGTTGAAATTACTTCACGTTCATCATCATCATCACCATCATTGATAGAGAATAATACAAAGCCATCATTATTTTTGACAGGGATGGAGGGTTCAAGATTTCCAATAGCAGTTGCTCATAGTGAAGGTAGAGCTGAATTTTTGAATGAACAGCAACAAATTTCCAATTTATTTTCAAAGAATCTTGTAGCAATAAGATTTATTGATAATTATGGCAAACCTACTGAAAGATACCCATATAATCCAAATGGTAGTCCTGCTGGTATCACAGGAATACAGACACCTGATGGCAGAGTATTGGCAATGATGCCACATCCTGAACGCGTTATTATCAAAGAAGCAAATTCATGGTATCCTAAAGAAGCCAATAACTGGGGTGAGTTTGGACCATGGTTAAGAATGTTTAGAAATGCAAGAGTTTGGGTTGAGTTGACTGGTTAACTGGTTAATTACTGGTTGGCTGGTTGGCTTGTTGGTTTATTGGTTATATTTTTTACATATATATATGTATTTTAAAATATTTATCCATTTTATTGATATTGTGAAAAGTGACAATTTTACAATATTTGAGGTTGATTAACATACTTCTTTTATTATTTACAATAACAAAACAAAACAAGTTGATTTGATTCATTGTTACGCAGTATGGCCAAATACTAGTCCATTTTTACCAACATTAAAACATAATAAATTTGCGTATTAAAAGAATTTACAAACATCACTTGACATTCAATAAAATTATGCTCAAAGGACAGTTATTATTATGTGAAATAACGTCATAGAATATATTATGATTGACAAACATCTTCTTGTTCAAGAAGAAATGACAACTGTGAATATTGTAAAAAGGGCAAAATGAAGTTGGAAGTAACAATCACGAAACCATACATACATGTTAGCCAAAATTACTTTGGTTAGTAAATGATCACTGCCAAGTTCAAAAATGCCAAAATAATTTTTCATAGTAGCCGCCAAAATTTATACCTAAAATTATTTAAATTTACATTTTAAAATAAAATAAAAATTAATAATCACTCGCAAATAAAAATATCTATCAAAGAAAAATATTATTATTTCCCAAAATTATGTCCATATTGGAATATATTATTAAAGAAAATCAGAAATTAAGTAAAAAAATAAAAAGATAAATAATTATAATGGATAATTTATAGTGATATTAAATTAGTCATCCATCAATTCTTTCTTTTAATTATTAGAATCTAATGCAATCAAATGTAAATAAAAAATAATTTTATTAATAATTGATGAATAATAAGTTCCAATTAATTAATAATAATGAAATTTTTATTCACCCTTTGTTATCATTTAAGAGAAGAGAGTTAAAATCAAGGCTATTTAATGAGCTGTCATTACTTGTATAAATTTTTAAGCTTTTAGATTTGGCAATCTCATCATCTAAGATTCTACTTTTATGATACGCATCTGGATGTGATATGTATACTTGTTGCGAATTATTACTACTACTAGTAGTAGTATCATTATTATCATTAATAATTTCGTTACACTTATTTCTAGCGAAATCATAAAGCTCTCTACTCGTTGGTCTTTTTGATGGATCTACATCCCAACACTTCTGCATCATTTGCACATAATCATCAGGCATTCCAGGCAGTATTGGTGGTCGTAAACCTTTGGCACATATATCAAAAATCAAACGATGATTGTGAGCTCTGTCATTAAATGGTGGATGACCCGCAAATATTTCCCACATTAACATCCCAACACTATAGATATCTGATTCTTTGGTGTTCTTTGCATTATTGCCTCTAAGTAGTTCGGGTGCAACATATGATACAATCCCATAGACTTTATTTGATGATTTTTCATCAATTGGTCCACATAATCCCAAATCTGTAATATAACAATTGCCTCCTTGCACAAGTATATTACCACTATGTAAATCACAATGGATTAAATCATTTTCATGTATATCATCTAATGCATCACATACATAATCAAATATTGTAATTCTGTCTTTTAATGTTAAATGACTTTTTTGTAAGTAACCCCTTAAACTCCCCTCTGGATAATAATTTAAAACTAATCCATAATTTCCATTATCTGGGAATTTAGTTATACCATAGCAATTAACAATCATTGGTGATTTAATTTTACAATAATTCATTGCCTGAAATAAATATAAAATCAATTAATATTGTATAATAGAGCATTGTTTATTTTTGTTTTAAATGACAACTACCAACCTCATCAAAAAAGCCTTTTCCTGGATTACTTGAACCATTTAAACTTTTTAATACTACATCTTGCCTTCCAAAATAACTAAATTCCTTTTTATTTTCGTCATAATCATCAATACTTCCTCTTGTCCATTTCGCAGTATAAATTGAACTAAATCCACCTTCTGTCAACTTTGTTACTTTTTTAAATTGCTCAAAAGGTATCCATTCTAAAATATAGTCTGGCAGGGATGATTTCATTTGACATTGTTGAATAAAGTTGTCAACTATGTTATTTCCAGATGTCCAAGTGGTGAAAAGACTCTGTAATTGTAAACTAATACAACCTTCACAGAACCTATCAGAGTATCTTGTCAATTTACACTTGTTACATTCTTTTGGTTTTCCCTTTTTATCTCTTGCATTTTTTAATTCAAAGTCATAAATAAACTCTTCCTTACAATATTCTTTTTCATTTTCAGAAAGCTCTTTGTTTTTGTTGGCTAATGAAAAAAAAAATTTTTTTTGACTTTCTCTATCAGAACTAACCATTGCATTATTCTCCATTTCATTATAAATTTTAAATACAAATTCTTCTCTTTCTGGTGATAATAATTTATTATGTGACATTATGTAAAAAATATAAAACTTGTTTTAATGAAGAAAATGTGGGATTTTTTTGAGTATTACTAACGGTCATATTATTTCCTTTTTCTTTGCGGAGAATTGAGCGTGTGACAAACACAAACAATCTTCCTTATTTGTGAGAATGCATTATTATTATGAATGAATGAAATGATTATGGAAGGGGACATTTCCTGCCTAAATACGCCGGTCTCTAAAGCGTGCGTCCTTTTCACACTAATAAAATTAATATAAATCTTGAATAAAAATTATAAAAATTGCATTATTTAAAGAACAACTTTATCATTAACAAAAATTCATCGTGATTCTAATGCTTCAATAATAGCATTCTTATCACTTTTAAAGCTTGAAACTTAAAGCTTACAGACACTCAAACACATTATTAACATTATTGTGTGTGTATTACTATTACTGTAGTTAACTTCAAAGTCAAATTCGAAAAACACAACTTGTATGCATTTAAAGTTGCTCTATATACCAATATTGACCTGTTCATGTATGTTTCGAACTCAGGCACCAAAGAACAATTTGATTTTTTCATTTAATAAAAAAATAATTTCAATTTGTAAAAAAGAAGAGCATTTTTATTTTGAAAGAGAATATGTAATAATAATTAGTTTCGCACAATTAAGTAAAATTCCTAATTCAAAATTATAATTTCAATGATAATTATTCTTCTTGTATCATTGCAATATATATGCAATGATAATAATTCTTTATTCATCTCTGGAACACACATTTACAGTGATTTTTTTCATGATTTTATAGTTTGGAGCTTTCGATAATTCTGTTTTATCATTATCGTTATTGTTATCACCAATAGGAATTGATGAACAAGGAAGCGGCTACTATTATTACTGTTCACTTTTATTTTCTTGACGTTTGTATCTAAATTTACTAGGTTCATGTCTTTCGAGACAATCATTTCTGCAAGAGACTGTTTAGTTTTGCTGCTAGCTTAATTTACACAACCAGTAGTTTACGCTTCTATATAAAATTGACATTATTTTATTTTGACTAAAATATTTGAAATGGATATTTAAATAGGGATAGAGTCTATATCAAAGGATACAAAAAAATAATTTGCAATCAAATGAGTACCACCACCTTTGTCATTAAAGAGCTTGTTATATTATAGTGAGTGGCCTTATACTTTTGCAATAATACATACTTCTGTCTAAATCATTGACAACGTTGCCGATTACATTGTAATGAAGATTGAGAAAATCATTTTCTGTAACTTGGAGGTGAATTCAGCTGAACATAATAAGAATTGATGGTGGTGGGTGGATCACATTTCTGAGAGGAATATTTATATTGATATTGTTACAATTATTAGTTGAGGAAAGATACAGTAATTGTAAACGTTTAGTAATTTTTCTTTTGTTAGTGGATGGATTATTTGTTCCAACCATTAGCTTAAATTACTATTATTTTATATAATGGTGATTATAGCTGTTAATGTTTTAAAAAAAAAACACTTGGAAAAGTTTGAATGAATAATACTGAAAATTTAAATATATGTATCTTTTTAGTAGAATTACAATGATTAGAAAATAATCATTAACTATGCCATAATTGGCATTTATGATTTTTCTGTTTTGGCTAACATCAAAATTGAGAAATTTTGACCGCTTTGGCCAATTTTTTTAGCTGGTCAAACAGCCAAAAGGCTATTGGTCGCGAGCATGATAATGATAAAGGAATAGATGCGTCTAGTCATATAAATATACAAGTTTTTAGCGCGACTAATTTGTTTAAAAACATAATGAAATTTCAACCTGAGCCTTCTGTAACTTCATGGTTTGTCAGCCCATTGACATTGCTTAAATTTAGAGGATTGGTAACAGTTTATGCATGGGTAATATTATTGTTAGGTTTATTTTTTGAAACCATCACTTACTTTTTTTATTTTTGAAAATTGGAGTCATGTTGGATTATTAATTTATTTTACTGTAAGATTTTCTATTTTTATATTTTTTTGAGAATTGAAGTAAATGTATAATTTTTAAAATCACAAATATAAAGATTGCATTTCATCATTCAATAAAATATGTAAATCCAAAACAACAAGTTCATTTAACAAATCTCCGAAATCCTTTAATTGGGCATTCTGGTTACTTCATCATTCAGTTGTACATTATCAGTAAGTTTTTTTATTCAAAAATATATTGCTTTTATATATATATTTCAATAATAATGGTGATGATTATGATGATTATGATGGTTCTATTCTATCAATTCTGCGTTGGGTGCCTCTTGTCAAATATTTCCAAAATTTTAAATATTCTCCAATAGTTTTGTGTCTTTGGATATCAAGATATGGTCTAGATGTTGTTTTCGGACTAAGTGAGCTGTTCTTAAATAAACAAATAATCTTATATCGATTTTTTCTTCTGACAATATCTTTAGTAGTATTGTACGTTTTTGAAGTATGAATAATTTATGCAAAGTAAAATCATGAAAAATCAAAACATCATGTTTTTATGATTTAATTATTTAAATTTGAATTTGGACTTGGGTCTCTTGCATTTGTTAATGGGGATGTTGGTCCGGAGATTGCCATTTGGTGTGTTTTATTTATTAGTTGTAGGTATTTCATATATAGTAGCATTTTGTACCCATAAATTGAGAGATTTACTTGGAAGAAGATATAAAAACATAGAGAAGACAAACGAACAAACTGCAGATATCATTGTAACAGAACAAAACGCAATGGAACAAAATCCTCAATCACCAATCATTGTAAAATGACAAGTTCAAGTTTTTTAAATTCGATTATTTTATTCTTTGTATCATATCTTATTAATATATTTGTATCTTTATCATCCCTTTTGGTTTGTCATTCTTCTTGATTCATTTCTTTAAATACAATTTCTCTCTAAATTGTATATTTTTCAACACATAAGTTGGATATTATTTATTTACAAATCGATAAAGCTTTTAACTCATAATTTTCAATTACAAGTGGTGTAGACAAGCTGTGGACTTTCCGTTTTTTTTTTTTTTTTTTTTGTTATAATTATTGATTTTTGATGCTTTACACATTCCCAAATGACCAACCAATCTATCAATCAATTTATCGGCCGTTTATATAAAATTTTCCTTTTTCTTTCTATAAATTGAAGTCATGTGATTTAAGCTTCTTCAAAGTCATGTGGATATCTGGATTTAGTTCTCATCACAAAAAACAAGCAGCTGAAATTTGCTAGCGCTAGCTCTAATTATTTTTCTTGTCTAACTTCAAGAGTAAAGTCTTTACAAGTAGTGATGGTGGCCGAAACTAACTCGTAGTTTAGGCATTTAGGCAATTTTGGTTTAGACCTAATTTCTATGAAAATTTTCTGGAGAAATTGACGAAACTCCTAAACTACGGGAAAAACCAAACGGACAATTAGAGCCTACTACTACTACTACTACTACTACTACTACTACTAGTACTACTGTTTGATTTCCGACCACAAAAGTTTTATTTAAACAAAAAAAGAATTAATTTGTTTGATTATTACAAAATGAATTATTTATAAAGAAATAATTTTATACTAACTTTTCTCAAGCAAGGCTCTGATAGAATTATTTAATTATCTGATTGATTAATTAATTAAAAGTTGATTGATAAAAAAAATTCACTTGGTCAAAAAGTGACATCATTTAATATTTTTGTAACAAATAAGTTGATTATTAAACGAAAGAGACTAGGTCGCATATCCAACATACGATTGGACGACACTTTGATAAATCCATTTTATTTAAAACTTGATCATAATTTAAAAGTTTCGCCTACAGTTTCTCCCGCAGTTTAGACAATATTTAAGTTTCGTTCGTCACTAGTTAGGAGTCTAAATTCCTGATTTATATGGCTCGGATTTGCTAAAATAATTTCGGCCACCGTCATTAAAATACATCAGATGACTTTTAGTAATGGAATTTCGAATAATCATAAATATTTGAATATCGAGTGATAATAATTATGAATATTTAAATATCGCTTTTATTTTTGATCAGAACCCCTAAATACAAAGCAAAAAGCAAAAAATCAGATTTTTTTCAAATATAAAAAACTCCAAAAATCAAGGCATCATAAAGAGAAAACTTTTTATATAATCAAAGGCAATAAAAACACATAAATATGTTCTCTGCGATTTATCTTATTTGTATGCACAAAAAAAAATCTTATTTTGCAAAGTTGATTTTATTCTAATAACTACAGAACTAGCGAATTGTTTTCAAAACTAATAAATACGATTTGATTGGCTGAAGTCAATTACCAGTCGGCTAAGTTGAACCATTTACAAAAAAAGAAAAAATACCGTTTAAAAATTCCTTATCCAGCCAGATATTTCTATTACGAGTACAAACGCTACATCTTGTCAAAAATAAATTGTTTTTCACAATTCGCGTCTGTCCTAAAAAAATATCTTTGTGCAACACCATGTGCCAATAATAATGTGGTTTTTAATTTTTAATAAACTAATAATAAAGAAAACTGAAAAAGAAGAAAATAAAAACAACAAAATACGGATCCGAATGAGAAATGGCTGTCATCACTCTAGTTAAAAAAGAACAATGGTGGTTGTAATCATTGCAACTTGTCGCCATTCTGGTTTTTTAAAAAGAATGAAAGTGGTGGCTGCAATGCATTGCAACTCATCGTCATTCTAATTACAAATTATCCGAGTTTAATAATAAAAAAATTTTATTATAGCGACTCTTTCACTGATAAAACAAGCTCACAGAATGCGAAATTTACGAATTATTTTTAGCATATATGATCCACGAAAAGTTTACGCCATTGAGTTTTTTGCATGGAGTGTCCTGAACAATAAATATGAGCTTGGTTCGTATATTTTTTAATAAAGTTGATGAATTATTAAGTCAAAATATTTGGAATGTTTATAAAATTCGTTAGTGAAACCGTGAAATAATTAACAATTTGGAGATAAAAAAACTCAATGCCACAAACTTTGAAATAAAATTAAGGGAAAATTTTAGGGTAAATAAAATTTTATTCTATATATTTTATAAAGATTGATAGTTTTCAACTTTCAAATCTAATTTAGTCACAAAAAGAAGACACAGAATGGGTGGTCAACATGGATGGAAAAAAATATGACATTGTCAAAATGATATGCAAGCCTTTTGAAAAGATTGGTGTTTTCAGATTAAATTGTGATGAACCAATATTATCGATACATAATACAAATCATCTCAATAATTTAAGTTTGGAACTGATGGAAAACTATGAAGAGATTTTTGGGAGGGCCAGGGAGAAGGATTAGTTTTGATATAGATGATACTATGACGCATCCATCACCTGGAACTATAAAAAGACAAAAAACAATAATGACTTGGTTAGTAGATGAGAAAGTGGTATTAAAATCTCAAGTGATATTAATAGAATAACTGTAAATATTAAATATGTAATGTTAAAGCTTTGTAGAAGCTTTAAATAATATTATAACTGTCATAAGTTTGTATTGGCTTTTTTCTAATACAAGGAGACATGAATGTGTATTTATTTATTGACATACTAAAATTTGATCCCTGAGATCCTTGGTAATACAAATTAAAATGTTCACTTTGTCACGGTATGCCCCGTTTAATGTTTACGAGAAATAAATCGAATGACATGGAATTCTTCTAAATGCGAAAATAGATGCTCTATATGAAGTCTAAATATACTACAAACCTAAAGTAATGGCATTATTATTGGATCTTTAATAACATTTGCTGATAGTTGATTAACCTAAGAACTTGCAAATGTTACTCAATTGGGTAGTTCATAACCTGGAGCACAAATTCATCATTTACAAAGTCAATGAAAAAAGGCTTGTCATTTGATTTCTAATTTCCTCAAGAAAAACAGATTACAACTCTTATGAGCTCAAACTTTATGTTCCAACCACATGCTTGACATGCACGACACACATGACCTTTATAAAACGTTGGATAATTTTTTTCCCTCACCTTTATTAATTCATTTATATTAATATCCTTCATTTTTGAAAAAAATAAAAATTACATGTATATGGATGAGTATACCATAGAAAGAAATTGCTTGGCACAATCTATGATAATTCATAATAATTTTGACCATCCAAAATATTGGCTTCATCTATAAGAGTTATATATCAAAATATACATATTAATATGCAAATGAAGAGAATGTTGGATGTAAATCTGATTAATAATATTTGAAACTTGATATTCGTATTTGCCGAATTTTCAAGTCACGTGAAAATTAAATTATTAATATATTAATATGCATCTTACACATACACATGCATAAATTCAATATATATGACGTATGTATACAAGTGCATTATACGCTAACATCTTGGTCAAAAAGCAATATGGAAATATGGCATTAAAAAATGCATAATATGAATGATTGTTTAATGCAACGTTCTCATGTTTACAATTTGTTGGTAGGATGTAACAAATAGCTGATGAAAATTAAGAAAGCATTGTATGCATATATTAATTAATTACCCAGAAAATAAAAAATATTGTTAGTAATTGGTTCTATTTGCTAAAAGCACAAGACAATGCTGATGATAACTAGAAAATTTTATTATACAATAAATCAATTGTTACTTGGATATGGGATATTGTTTTCGAAAAAAATTCACCCCCCCCCCCCTTTTACAAAGATCATATTTTCAATTTTTTGCAATGTAACATTTTATGATTGATTTTATTCATTCCACTTTATTGAGGAAGAAAACAAAATAAATATAAATTAATATTGAACCAAGAAAAATATATAAATAATATTATAGTTAAAATAATATTTTTAAATTTACCTTTTTAGCAACCATACCATCAGGAGGTTTTGTTTCAACTTTACCTTTACCAACCTCACTCCAATTTGTACTAAGACAAGTTCCACTACTTTCGGTATAACTTTTCAACATTGCACGTTTAGTATCCTCATCTGCATCGTTATATAATTGTTGAAATAATGAATTCAATGCTGCATCTCCTTCGGGTTTATCCTTATCTTTAATAATTTCTTTCTCTAATGCGTCCCAATTTTTAGCATGACGAGCTGATGATGGATATGCCAGGCTACCTGAGTTATTACATGTGGTAGAATATGCATTATTATTAATGGAAATTTAAATAATTACAATGATAATAATGATGATGATAATAATAATTTATATTGAATGATTTGTGATTTCAAATATAAAATCTTCTCGATCGTTCGTTTTGGCTTATTACCTTTAGCATCAGTGTCAATTCTTTGCAAAAGTTTATCTTCTCCCTCAAGTAAACTCCATTTAATACCAACTTCCTTTTTTTTCATTTTAATTTCAATTTTTGTAGACAAAATATCATATTTACTTTCCTTTGGTTCAATCTCGTGTGCAAGCGGATCAAGCTCCAATGAATAATCTGACCCAGTTGGCAATTTCACTGTAACCGATAATGATTTATCTGCAATATAAACATTAACTGTTTCCTTTTTTACATTCTTTATAAAAATACTAATGCTGACATAATTTTCGTTTTGATACCATTCATGTCTACAAACATATTTATTTATTGATTTTATTATTAATTTTTAATTTTTAAAGATGCATGTATGTATTATATATAAAAAACAATATTTTACCGAATTTTGCTTTGTGATAAAAACGAAGTTGTTGGATTATTATTTGTTGTTGTTGTTGTTGTTGTATTTTCATTGTTGGAAGAAGCCATCTTCTTTTAAAAGATTTCAGGGAATAAAGCAACCCTATTAAAAATATTAAAATGGTAAAATAAATAAAATAAACCAGATTTGATAATGATAATAAACATGATTCGTATTAGTACAACGGGATGTTACACGATTTCTTAATTTCTTTTCAATGTAATTTTTTTTAAAAAAAAAAGTGTCAATTTTAATATTAATATGTAATTACTAATTTGTTCATCCAAATCCCTATTTCCAAAAATAAATCTCAAATAATTTATTATTTTCCTCCTCTCTCTCTTCTGCAACACTGCAACAACTCCTTCTCTCCTATTTATTTCTTCTCCTTTTTCTTGTTTTATATAATAATTAATTAAATTACTTGTATTTCTTCTATAACTATAAATTATTTATTTATCCATTCTAAAAACCACTAAAAACAAGACTTCTCTTTCTTTTGGGACATCTCACTTCCACACTCGCATTATTTATTTTCCTGCGAAAAACTTATTTTCCAATCGTTAAAGAAACAAGTAAAGTAATTACACATACACACACATACACACACCCATACACACACCCATACACACACCCTACTTCCTTTCTTAAAACATTTCTAGATTTTATAA